AGAGAGAGAGAGAGAGAGAGAGAGAGAGAGAGAGAGAGAGAGAGAGAGAGAGAGAGAGAGAGGTTTTCATGTTCCTCAAATGCTGATGTGGAGTTCCTTCAATCCATCTTCATCATCATCGTGCAGGTGAGATTGTGTTATTGAGGCATCTGTGGTCATGACAGATGAAGGTGCGCCAAACATCTACAAGCTGCAGGACCGATCAATGCAGGACGCGTTGCACTCAAAATTCGGAGCTGACTTCCGGGAGGCGAAACCTGTTTTACTTTGTCTGCTGACAGCATAAAGCAACCTTGAAGGATGATGCGGTGATGATTCTGTCGGAAGCGGGGACGCAGAGACGGAGTGGTTCTTCTGATCCCTACCTAGTCTTCAAGTCTTGTCTTCAAGAGTTACAGATGGTGATGCATCAAAAGGTTGGATGCATCTGAACCTTGGTCTCACAGTGCAGCAAGGAGGTTTTTTTTTCCCCTTCTTCTTCTTCTTCTTCTTCAGAAACTGGCAATTTTTTTTGACACAGCGCTTTTTTCCCAAAGCTGATCGGAGACTAACCATACCTGTTTAGGTAGGTACGGTACTGCTCAACCTACAGGCAAAGCTGCCATTTGCAGGTTGCTATGCGAGACCAATCGTCAGTTACAGCCGTATCGAGGAACTGAAAAAATAAAATAAAAAAGGAGCAATTGCCTGCCGACCTACGGGATTGGTTATGGATGTTGCAACGGAGTATCTGCCGTCGTACAGGGAAGGTTGTTGTTCGATAATCTGACGCGTTCACGCTGAGGGGAGCATGGTCATAACAACAGATATTATTGCGAATTGGCAGCAAAGTTGAGCAAACCAATTGCTCAAGCTGTATATACCATTTACCTTCTGGGTAGGGGTAGGGGTCATGATAGGCTGCTTGCTACCTCCTGATCGACGGAGACGGAGTTCGTCTCCTGGTGCAGAAGTGATCCCTCCACAACAATTCCTGGTGTGGAATCGATCTGCTCGGTCCATTACAACGGGCGTATAGTGTAACCGACCGAGCCTGCCACTGGTGAAGCATCGAGTTCAGGATCCGGTTTGTGCCGCGTTCTGCACCTGGTTTATACCTGCACCTGGTCCGTATTGGTGGGAAGGTACTTAGTGGAAGTGATGCCACCGTCCAGTGGGCCGATCGGGAGCCATATGCGGTATGGGGGAGGAACTGCGAAGCATACACGTAGGCTCCAGCTGTCGTCCTGCGTGGCAAGCCTTGTTGTGTCTGTGCTGCTAGTTATGCTGTTTGTCGTGTTTCGCTTGATAGTAGGTCGAGCAGTGGAACATCCGACAAATTTGCTGCGGAATGTGACAAGCACGCTTCAGAGGGAGGAAGGTAGAGATGGCGGTGGCAAAGACAAGGAGACGACGGCGACAGAGACCACTGAGGCATTGGCACAGCAACATGAGAATAGGAGGAAGACGGATTCATCGTCGTCCTCGTTTGTCAGGAAGATGGATGCCAATGCAATCCCGAAGTCCGGTGTCGGCTTTCTCCGAGGTGATTTCCGGGGATGGATGATCGAACCTCTGGATGCCGTGGTCAGATCGGGACTCAAAGGCGGCGCCACATCCTGCGGTGAGGTCAATTTTGGGAGTGTGCGCCCGGGTTGCGTACGTGGGAATCATAAGCACGATGACAAGAATGAGACGATTGTGTTGTGGGGCGCATGGACGAAGATTCGACTGAGAGGGAGAGAAAGCGAAGAGGAGAAAGGGAGACGCGAGCAAGACGAGGAAGTCGTCGTGGGACCCGATGAAGTTGCAGTCCTGGTCGCACCGGAGGGTGTGGCACACGCGGTTATCAACATCGACGATGCAGCGAGCACCTACTTAGTATCGTGTGTAGATGGCGCCCTGAACGAGAGCAAAAATAGTATCCGACCGGCACCTGTCTGGGAGGACCTCACTTTGTTGAACCGCGGGTGATCGAGTAACGACAGACCACCGATGACGACTGAATTACCACCACCACCATTTTTTTTTCAGCAAACGACTTCCTATCGACAATGGTGTGACATGCCGAGTTAGGATGAGCAAAGAAGCATGGCCCCTGCGCAAGGATGACACGCATGAATCGAGAACCGCAGGTGATCAAATCGAGGATCGAGGAACGGAGCAGCAGTGGCGGCTGAATCACGACCACTGTTTAGGGATTGGCTTCCGTCCTACAATCGTGCAAGGTGCAAAGTCTCAGGAACAAGATGAGCAAAGAAATGGCTTCTGAGAGGCACTCACAAACTCGTACTTAGAGGGGGTAAGGACGACTCCACACTGCCTCTAGAAGCTGGAACCACGAGGGGAGAGGTCCCACTAGCAAAAGACGATATTGGATTCAGCTCTTGAATCTGGACGTGTTTTCTGCGTGGGTACAGAAAAGCAGTTCAATCACGATTTTCTGTAGCTCGCCACACATTCAGGCGTTGAAAATTCGATCGCACTCAAGAACTCGTACTTAGAGGGGGTAATGACAACGCCACACTTGCCTCTTTAGGTGTTGGAACGACCAGGGTCGAGGTCCCACTAGCAAAAGATGATTGGATTCAGCTCCTGAATCTGGACGTCCTTTACAGAAAAAAAGCAGTTCAATCACGATTTTCTGCACCTGGCCACAAGAGCGTCCACAATCAGGCGTTAAATTCAATCTTCTTTGCTAGTTGGACAATCCCACAATGCCTCTAGACGTTGGAGCCACCAGGAGTGAGTTAATGTTTTTTTGCCCGCTGCCACAGTTCAAGATAGCTATTAGCTACCTTCTTCCCCCGAATACAACGTACGGTCATAATAGCTGTATGTATTTGGGGTATCTTTCCGTCTAAATACAGCAATAATGACCGTACGTTGTATTCGGGTGAAGAAGGTGGCTTGTGTACAACCTTGCTGCTGCAGCGTTGTCGAGCGGGGATCCCCGGGGCCTTTACTATGGCCCTTGCAGCAATCGTCCATCGCTGGAGAATGGCTGACTGCTGCAAACGCTGCTGTGTGAAAGCTTGCTGAACATTATGACAACGTCGGCTATTGGTTATCGAATAGCATGCCAGCCTGCCAGGCAGAGATGTTGTACCTTTTCCTTTCCTTATTTGATGATTTTCAGTTTTTTTTTTTTTTTTTTTTCTCAAGGTGCTGCAGCGCGAGCAGTCGATTAATTCACCATTGCGATTCCAATGCCGCTCATCTACATGCTTCACTAGTAATTGTCAATTATTAATTGTTATTCTTATCCAAATGGGCAGACGAATCCGGAAGGAAGGACGTCGCTGACGGATGGTAGGGATCGAAGAAGAAGAAGAAGAAGAAGAAGAAGAAGAAGAAGAAGAAGAAGAAGACGAGGACAGCAAATTTGAAATGGAAACCAAGATTGATGGAGATGTTTGTTCTCCTTCATGGCGCTTGTGCCATGAAGGGGAAGTGGTCCTTGTTGAAGTGGTAGTGACAGATGCAACCTTGATGAGTGTGTTGCTTGAGATTGCGCCATCCTAGTCCCTTCTGCATTCCTATGCGGACAGATAGATAGGTAGGTACGTTCCGAGGTTGGGAGTGAGAGTGGTTTCGGGCTCACACTCTGTGTGTGTGTNGGAGAGGAGGGGGAGAGGGAGAGGGTGGGTGAAGAAGAGGGACAAAAGAAGATCATTCCAGACAGGTTGGTCTTGGGTGTTGGTTGCCTGCAAGCTGGTTGCCTTGCAGATCGCAAAGCAAGCTTTGGTCTACCAACCGTGGGCGGCAGCGAGAAATGCAATGGCTGAGAACGAACGGGAGAGAGGGAGGAAGGGAGGGAGAGGAGATGGAGAGGGAGAGGGTGGGTGAAGAAGAGGGACAAAAGAGGATCATTCCAGACAGGTTGGTCTTGGGTGTTGGTTGCCTGCAAGCTGGTTGTATTGCAGATCGCAAAGCAAGCCTTGGTCTACCAACCGTGGGCGACAGCCAGAAATGCAATGGGTGTAAACAAAAACTCCAGCAACTGGAGCAACTTTTTTTCCTGAAATCAAGGTGTTTTAAAACACCTACTACATTCGAGCCTCTCTTGTACACCAAGTTTTTGCCAGGACATCAGGGCGGCGTTTTTTGTTTTAGTTTTGGCTGGCGCCGCCAGCCATTTGGATCCGGTTGGCCAGAACATCAGCGCGGCGTTTTTTGTTTTAGTTTTGGCTGGCGCCGCCTGCCCGGTTGGCCCGAGCCTCCATTTTTTTGTTGGAGCGACTCAATCGTGATTCACAAGTTGGCTGGGGCCATGTACTGGTGTTTTAAGAAACTGATGTCAGCGGAACCATTTATCAAGAAGGACCTTGTCAGCAGCAAGGGTATCGTTGGAGTCCTTTTCCGTCACTCATGCTGGCGAATCCTCACTGCCAAGTTTTCTCGAGAAACAGGTGGAAAGTTAAATCTCGTTGGATGCGAATGGAGAAATTCCAAATTCGACCTTTTTGTAGCAAGGGTATCGCCGGGAAGGAGTTAGCCTACAACTACCGTAGGTAAGTTGCACACTTTGGCTGCGAATGGAGAAAATCCAAATTCGTCCTTTTTTTGAAGTTTTTGTAGATCATCTCCAGTCACATTGTCAAGGAGTGTGTTGTTTATTGCAAGGAGTGTACTGCCACAAGGAGTGCTATTTGCAAGGAATGCCTTGCCGTATTACTGCAAGGAGCATTGTTGCACTGAGTGTTATCCAGACTGTTTTATTCCACTTCAATATGTGTGTGTGTGTGTGTGTGTGTGTGTGTGTGTGTGTGTGTGAGAGAGAGAGAGAGAGAGAGAGAGAGAGAGAGAGAGAGAGAGAGGCAGAGAGACACACACACACACAAACCCACTGAGAGGCGCAGTTGCAGACAGAGAGAACGTGTGCCTTTTGCTTTCAATGGTTTGTCATGTTATTGTGAAAATTTTAAGGGTTATGAAATTTCTCAGTGTTGCTCTGAAAGTTTGTTTAACACTGAAAATTTAAGGCGCTGAAGGTGCTCAACAGCGTAGGTGCCCTTTAGTCTTAAGACTCTTAAGACTCTTAACTTGTTTAAGGTTGTGAAGAGGGATATATTATTTTCAAGATCGTTGATGGACACGAGGTACCAGGTGCAGGTGGAGGTGAGATGAGCTTGCCTGCTCGACTACGGAGGGTGAGATGAGCTGCCTGCTCGACTACGGAGGGTGAGATGAGCTGCCTGCTCGACCAGGGAGCCCCAAAGTGTTCAGATGAACATCCTTGCGATGCGGGAAGAAGGAAAAAAACTTCGAAAAGGAGAGAAAGAGATGAGCGTCCTTGATTCGTTGCAATCTGGAACAAGCTACGTGGTGGCGGAACCAAGGCTTGTTCAGCCGCGCAAAGCCTTGGTTGGTTCCGCCACCACGTAGCTTGCCTTCCGAAGGAGAAAGAGACTGCGCCAAAATTCGGAGATTCACCGACGAAAAAAAAAAAAAAAA